GTTTCTAATAGGCTTTTTTCCATACAGCCGCTGTATGCCTACTACGATTTAAAAATTAAATATATTTATGACACAAATATCTTTTACGGCATAACTGTTCATTATGGACGTGCTTTGCATAGTTATGGATACAGACTCTCTTCACTCTTACTGAAAATACTAAAACATCCAATTATTAAAGTTAATTATTGTAGCTACGTACAGACAACGTGAGACTGTAAGCCCCGAATACCACACAGGGTTAGCTTAAGTATCCCGGGATGGGGTTAAATTCCCGACCTGAATATAGATTACTTTCCCCTGGTATAAATACAAGTGTGCCGTGAAATTTTAGCTCACCCTTTGGTCACAAAATATTTGAAAACCTCTGCTCTTGACGATCCAGTCCGAAGACCTCAACAACAACAAAAGCCATGTAGATTAACCCTTCACATGCAGCGCGGGAACGTAAAACGGACAGACGGAGGGCAGAGAACGTGTCCATGAAATTAAGAGCTGTTTAACATCACAGGAAAAAGCTGTATTTGAGTGTCTGAAAAGGATCGAACGGCTTCAGTACCTTTGTTTGACATTATGTAGTCGGTATCGTATGACAGACAGCAAACTGAGTCGATGCGCACCAAATATGACGTTAACAAGCATGCACAGAAAAGGCCTTTCAACTAGAATCACACCCGTTTTCAGCTCAGTCAGATACTATCCACCGTGGTGGCTGTTTTAGCCTCTGTAACCCTAAAACCGAAAAGCTGCCTCATTAGGCAGCTATCCCACCTAGCAGCATGCTAACACTGGAAGCGCTAGCCCCGCTAACCTGCTTTTCATGCCAAATCCTGAACTTTATACAGAGTACAGCGGCACAAACTTCCTACAGCTAAAAGGACAAAAAGGCTGTTGTGTGTGCGCAGACTTTACCGTATCGATGAGTTGCTGGGCAATGCTCGTTTTGTGGATTACAATTTTTCCATTCGTCTTTTCTTTTTTTCACTCTCAAAATGCAAGCCGGAAGACCGCTGAGAAAGGACTGCACCTACTTTCTACATTCAACCAACCAGAGAAGGGACTGCTCGATCGCTAGCCAATAGAAACGTTTTTAGCGCCATAAAGCGGTACAACGGGCTGAAGGAGGTAGGCGGTTGTTAGGGGGATGCTAAGACACTCTAGTCACGTGATCGACGGACGCAATCGAGCTCACTTTGGAGCCAAGTGGGAACCTCCGAAAAAAGGAAGCCAAGGCGGAAGTGCAAAAAACTGCAGTTCCTCTAAAGGCCACTTGATGCTGCCTATGCTTCAACAGCAATGAAATATCCGCACAGAAAGTAATTAATTCAAAGAAATAAGCGACCAGACACACAATTCAAGAATTAAATGACAAAAAACACCCCAATATTTTTAAAGTAAAGGATTTCAGGCACCCCTCATAATGTACAATAGTCAGTACTTGTTAAATGTAATGAAATATCTTAAATCCTGTTAAAGTGTTAAGCTGTCTTTAACATGTAAATTTCCTGATTTACGGGAGAAATAAACACTGTTAATATGGTCTCCACTGCCTGATTTTTGTTTTTTAATAAACAGGAGCTCAGTCTCCCTTTGCAAATCAAATAAAAAACATATCCCTAGGTTTTTTTATGTTTTCATTTTCGCTTAGATGCAAAACAAACAAAGAAAGCTTCTAAATCTTCCCTTTCACTCATGTTGCTATCCTTTTGTCACCAATCACAAGGACAGGAACAAAACTTAAAGTAAAGCTTCAAAACATTAAGATCCAAGCCCTTAAAGACATTTTGTTATCTTACACTTTATGCTTGCCCCACTACTGAAAAAGCTCTGGCATGAAGTTCAGTCCCAGCACACCAGGTGTCAGTTTGAGAGGAGGAGCAACTGTAATACCTTCACATAAACACTAGAGAGCAGCAGCAGGTCATCAAAACATCTTTACATTCTCTACATGTTTCCATTCCCCCCCCTTTTCCCTTTTTAGTCACACCAAGTTTTTCATCTTATAGCCATTTTGGTTAGCAACTTTTTTGGTTCCTCATCAGAGCAAATCACAGTGTTGGATATTAAACCCCCCCTCAGAAAAAAAAAACTTACTTAGCTAATTTTTCTACTTAGTATTTTTTCTACTGAATCTGCATAATGAGTATTTTTAATTTACGTTCTAAAGTATATTTCAGTGAAAATTTGCATTAGTAGGTGGGGTTATGTTTTAAATAAAACAGCTTTTAAATATAGAATTATGCTCAAAGTCTTCTCTAGCCCCTTTTCATGTAAAACATCTGTATCACCCCAAAAGTCCAGATGTTTACTTTCCCCCCATGTATATTGCCGATCATATATCTTTTGGTTTCATGTGGGCCCCGACATGATAACCAATTTTTTAAAACATCCTCGAAGCTCCCCTGGTATATGTCAAAGTTATTAACTTCATGTAGAAGTACATGTAAAAAATATTTTAGCCAACTGACATAAAAATAAGAACTAAACTTAACGGAAAAAATGAGAACAATATTTTCTGTGATTTTCTGCTTTGGTCAAAATTATTGCTTTAGTTTATCTTTGTTTACTGAGACTAAAATTACAGTGAAACTACACAATTAATCATAACCACAAACACCATCTGGAAAAAATGTATACAACAAAGTAAAAACCATTGGAAAGATATAAAACTATGCACAACTCTGGGTCATATCGTTAGGCTATTCAGCTGCTGGATTACAAACAACATCTCATACCATCAGTGTGATCAAATAGATATATACATATTTTTTGTGGGAAACATGTGAAAAAGTTCTGTAGAAACAGCAACAGGATTAGGATATATGAAACTGTACTTTAGTTTTTAAAGGATTTATGATGCTGTTTTTGGGACTAGCTGATTTTTAGCTAACAGGTGGAAATGTCTGTTTAAAGGTCGGTTCAACAACTGTTGGATGAATTTGGCATAGATATTTCTGTTGCCCAGCGACTTTGCTGATGCCATGGCTTTTTCTTTTGCCCTGTTTTGGAAATATGCTGCCCTCCATTAGCACAATCAAAAATTGCTCTTTTATTATAAGTAAATATGTTGTAATGTATTTCAGCATTAGCGCACATCTACTTCAGTTAGTTTGCACTATTTTTCAAAGCTAAAATCTAATTGCCCCTTGGGGATAAATAAAGTCTTTCTGATTCTGATTCTGACTATCAAATTTATGGCACCTTTTCTGTTTTTTTCATGTTTTATAATTTAGGATAATATTAGAGAACATTAATATTAAATTGTATTAATATTAAGTTTCATAAGATTATATACTGTTGCGTGACCGGGATTATACAAAAGAGTTAAAAGAGATGCAGGACATAGTAATTAACAACGTGTAAAAACAGTCAAGACAACCAGACCAACAGAAAGATTGAAAAAGCAGTCACAGGAAAATAAAAACTCTTTCAAAGTAAAACAGGAAATGCTAAATGCTGCTAAATATGGAAGTAGGAAAACTCCTAGTAAACACAAAGCAGAGGAACACAGGGAGGTACGAGTAATAATAAAACTGGAACCCAAAACTAAAGAAAAATCAAAACGATAAACTTCACACACCAATGATTAATTATATAAAGGAAAAGAGTATTGGTACGATAAACTAAAAGAGAACATTTTAAAAGAGTATATCTGAAGATAAAGTATAACAGTTATTTAAGTCACTACAGTATTTTCCCACTTAAGTGTTAAAACAGTGTCAAGTTCTTCTTAATTTCTACATTAACATGAGTAAAAATTCACAAACGATCTTTCATCAGCAATTAGCTCTCTCCACATAGTCATCATTTATATCCACCTGGATCATAAAGGGTTATTCAACCACTGCTGCATGCTGAGGCATGCCATGGAATTCCCCAGCTGTGCCTATTCAGTTGCATACACCTGCTGGTATGTTTCTTTAAGTTGTGAAACACTCGTAAATTCTTGGGATATTATTTGTGACTGGTTTTATTTGGAACGATTAAATGAGTCCAAGGAAGTAAGCAGTAAGTTAGTAAGATCAGTGATTAAAAATCAAGGAAATGTTAACATGAGTACATGAGTACAAGCAAAAGAAAGAAACACTGTTTTTCTGTGACATACCAGTTTGACTCTGACTCATTTGTCTGCATTGTTAATTACTCATAACCATTTCAGACTTCAGTTAAGTGACTTTTCACAGCTGTACAATGTCTGATCTTAACGTTGACTCATTTTTTTTTTTTGGTTTTTTGGTTTTTCTCTGGCATGAAGGTTGTCCTCTGCAGCACGTCTCTCCGTGTTGCTACAGACACAGTGTGTTTTGACTCATCTAATAATTCCTTCCCTACAATGAATCGGCCTTTCTGGATTGTGCAGCACAGTTGATTCACTGGAAACCACTAGCAGACCCAGACAGCAACCAGCTAAAGCACCAAAGAGAGGTTCTCCGTGGTTAATGAAGTATACTCTCCCCAAGAACCCCTTTAAACATGGCAGCTTCATTATCTCACAACTCAATTAATTAAACAAGTCATTATGTCTGAACTCAATCAAACACTGAGGCACCACAGAGAGCTCACAAAGCTCCAGATTCTTTCAACTCAGTTTGGCTGTTCTCCCAGATGTTACAGTAAAGTTTCATGTCCAGGCGTCCATGAAAAAAAAGGATTTGTAAGGTTTAGCAGAAAGTTACTTACATTAGCCAGATGTTAACATATAATGATGTGGTAGCTGGTGGCTAGCTACAGAGATATAGTTAGGCTAATATATACACATCAACATAGAGCAGATGAAGGATCATGTTCAGATGTTCATGTTGAGGGTCCCCGATGGGCAAAGTGGAGTTGAAGTTTGAACTGGATTCAAAGTCACCATCTGGCCAGAGAGTTTGCACGTTCTCCCGTGTCTGCATGGGTTCTCTACAGGTACTCCAGCTTCCTCCCACTATCCAAGGATATACATAGGCTTAGGTTAATTGGAGATTATAAAATGATTAATGGCACAAATGTAAGTGTGAATGGTTGTCTGTCTCTCTATGTTGGTCCTACCATCGACTGGTGGCCTGTCTAGGGTGTACCCCCCTCTCACTCTAGGCCCCAGCCCATTGGGTAAGAAGAAGAAAATAGATGGATGGAGCTTAAAGACATGCTGCACATGAACAGTGCTGATAAAACGCTGCAGAAGCTGATAATGATGACTTGGACTTTTGTCTTAAAAAAAACCAAGACAAAACACTTTAGCAAGATAAAAAGACATCATCCTCATGAGAACGTGACAGAGAGTGACATGTCACCCAAACAATGCTCCGCTGAAATCGACAGAGCTTTGCTGTGACGTTGGGTTGAAAAGTAGGAGAGCAGAGTAAGCTCCTTTTCTCTAAGATGTCAGCTCCTCCCTGCTGGATGCGTCTTCTGCTGGAGTTCTTCGTCCCCACCATCACCAAGTGGTGCTCATTTGATCTAATGTTGTTGAGTCTTTACCGTACTACATAGAGGTGACTGTTATTGTAAACGGACTTTTTATAAATAAAGCTTAATTGAATTAAGTCGAGCAGTTCAGCAAATAATGTTGCAGTGGACTCAGGCCGAAAAATTTGCTTCCAGTGGCCTCCTCTGAGAGATTTGCATCGTCTCTCTAACATCCCTAAAATTAGAAGTCAGTGCCCTGATTTATGTGGAAACGCTGAGGGGGCGGGGGCACATTCCATGGCTGCTGTAGGCAGGAAGTTTTGGAATCTCCATGGAAATCAAGGCAAAACACAGAGCCCCACAGTTATTTTTCCAAATATTTCACACATGCCTTTAGTACAAAATGTGCTCAAAAGGAAAGGAGGACAAATGATTTGTTACCAACTGTCCCCTTCATTCCTCACACACACTTCGATTGTATCTCGCATTGCTTCAAATGGCGCTTGACTTTAACATTTTTCTGACTGTAGATGAAGCGTGAATTATGTGGAGTGCATTTCACACGAGTCTGCACTTTCATACCATGAAAAACAAACAAAGTCGAAATTCAGAACATTGACATCTGTTCTTGATCCACTCTGATTGGATCACGCGCACAGTTGGCAGGAGTCACAGTGGTGAAATCACGGCGATAACCTGACAACAGTCTTTGTAAGTTATGCTCCAGTCCGCATGTATGTGGAATGCATACATGAAGGTTTAACCTTTCTCCATGCAGACTGGATGAGGATGACTTTTCAGCTAAATTTCCCACTATGATGCTGTTCAAACTTAGTGCTCACGTAATCCTAACCTTTCCCCTCAGCTGAGCCTCACCTCACTCACAGTTACTGACATACGAGTCAGGAAATGTGATCTGCATTTGCACAGATAGGACCAAAATAATGGGAAATCACAGACCGCATGGTGCCAAAGCTGAAAATGGTACTCAACACATGGCGATTTATTACTGCAGCTTTTCCCCGCCTGAGAAAAGTGGCACTCGCCTATGACAAGTAAAGGCAGCGAGAGGAAAATGTCTGGCATCCGAGGAATGAAATTCCAACCTCAGCAAGGGGGAACAAGGAAGACAAAAATATTTACATTAAAATTAAAAGTTTACCGAGGAATTCCTACATGTCCCTGCACATCTTGAGAATATATAAGAAAGCACATCCACATCAAAATACAATCAATTACTTGGCATTTGATCTGATTATTTGAGGTTAAATTTGTATTTCCATTTAACTTGAGTAACATTACAGGTTCTCTTATTTTCTGAGAATTCGTGTGGATTAGTTCCTGCTGGGCAGGTTTGGAGAATCACTTTGTGTGAGATGAAATCTAAAATCCTCAAGAACTTAATTTTCTTAGGATTTGAGGTACAGCTTCTGGTATTTGTCATGCAAGATGCCTTTATCTTAACAGCAAGATAGAAAAAGATTGCTGTGAAACTAATACGGTACATTTTGTTACTTGCAGAGTTTTTGTACATCATATTGTGTCTCTGCTTGAAGAAGACCAACCACAGCTGAGCAGTCATAGAAGTCACAGAAGAATAGAGAAAATCTTGGCTCAGTTGGTGTAGTAGATTTATTGGAAGGATGACTGATGACTGAGGAGAGACATTTTAAAGAAAACTTGGAGTCAAACAGTAAGTACAAATGTTTAACCCCAACAGCCTGGTCATCCCCTAAATCCAGTATATCTAAAGAGACCAAAACTACAAAACTAGTAGATTTTTGTCACTTTGGGGATCAGCCTCAAGTGGACAGAGGATAGAGGATTTTGGCTGAATTTTTCAAACTCGAAGATTTCTGAGGTCACTGAGATGTTTAGAAAGGGTCACAGTGACAAAAAGAAATGAGGCCACTCTGGAAGTGTCTGAGCTGAAGATGTTAAGATTTTCACTGGGAGTGACTAGAAATGAGTATGTCAGAGGAGCAGTTCAAGTGTGGATATGAAGTTAGAGAGGCTAAGATGGTTTGGACTTCTGCAGAGGAGAGATATTGGATATACTGGACAAAGGACGCTAAAGATGGAGATGCCAGGCATGAAGAAAATAGAGGAGACTCATGGACGTAGTGAACGAGGACAGGCAGACGGTTGGTGTGACAAAGGGGTTTGCTAGGGATGGAGGCAGATGATCCACTGTTGCGATCCTAAAGGGGGCAGCTAAAAGAAGAAGGCGAGGTCACCGTCTTTACAGCCTGATATAAATGGTTGTTTCTATAGCTGATATCTGCCTTCATAACAACTGCAAGAGGTGATTTTTAAACTTTTTATCTTTGAACTAATGAGGAACCGTTGGTGCACCCTATTTGGATTCAGTAAACCTAGCTAGCTGATGTTAGCGGGTGAAGTAAATCCTTCTAATTGTCCAAATATGGTCACTTGTGGTTCCAAAAAAGCTGGCAAAAGCACCAAAATTTCAGATTTAAAATGTTTACAAACCAGCGGGTGACATCTACGGCTTTCCTTCGGTGAAGAGAACAGAGAGCCTTTTATCAGGAATATATTAAAACTTTATTATTGTGAAATGTTAAGGCATACATACAAATGTTTCCTTTACAAAAGTTCACAGCAACATCACGTTGGGTCAACCAGCTGAAGCGAGGCAACTTAACACAACCTTTTGTATTCATCATCAACTATAACTTAAAGATAGAGTCCATCTTTGGCACCAGGAAACAAGACCATTTAAAGTAGATATGAAAAAAATAATAATTACAAAATATATTAACTTCTCTCACTTCAAACAGCCATTTGTGTAAACATGTTGCAGAATAAGCAAAGGGCAGTAACTCTGACACACTGCACTGACCAGCAAATGCACTGTGATGGAGGATGAAGGAGAACATCGGGTAAACGTGAGGTTTCACACGCTAATATTTAAAAACTGGATGAGCTTATTGGCTTCTTCAGAAATCCACTGATGATGAGTTTTAATGTCCTTTCCCCATGGAGTGTGGCACATTCCAGTTAAATAGAAAACACATTCATTGAAAACAGAAGTGTACATTCATCAGTGTTCAGTGATCCTACATCACGCAGGGAGAAATAAATAGAAGAGTCCATATTAGGCTTACAGTATAGTCTACCCAGAAATGTGAGATACTTGAAAAACAGCTGAATATAACAGCGATGGAGTAGCAAATGTGGGCCAATTATAGTTGACCGTTTCAACGTTCGTGGTAGATCCAGCTACCACGACTCAGAAGAAATAACCACCCCAGAAAAGGAGTCATGTGGAGAATGCCTGCCATTTTAACAAGGGCGAAGGGTCAGACTTTAGATAGCCTTTTTCTTTAACGGGAGCATTCCCTCAGCGAGGAATGTGAGAAGATTAGCTCCTCTGTGGCATGGGAGGGGAGCGAAACGCTGGGTAGCCACCTTCTGAGGCCCCAAACATTAGCCGGGGATCTGGAAAACCGGACCCCAGAGAAACGGCGTCAATCCTCACAGGCTTTTTAAAGAGAGAACCGAGCAGGCATTTTGCAGGCTTCGCATTCAAAAAAATGTTTCCAAATCCCCCTCTGAGCTGCGAGCAAGGCCTCCGAATGTATTTTAAAGAGGAGGGCAACTGTTAATTTAGCTCTGTTAAATTCTGAGTCATTTTATAAATATTCCCATTACTTTCAGAGGGCATGGTAACAGGGATGCTACTGGAAAACAAAACCAAGAAGTGAGTCATGTGTATATAATTAGAAAAAGAAAGTGGTGCACATTTAGGACAAACAAAATCACATCAATTATGAGCAGCATTTACATGTATAAATACAATACATAATTAAAAAATAAAAAGAGAAACATGCACAATATATGCACAGTCAGCAGCCCAGTTCCTGTCACGCTGAAATACTGTCCAGGTACCGTGAACGAATCCCAACTGCCCGTTTATGAGTTGTGCAGAAACAGCAGAAGGAAATCTCAGCACACACATGTTGATTTAAGCCAGACGTCGAGGAAGCCCTTTAAAGTCTCAGCCAAGAGTCTGTGTCAGTGCTGCTGTCAGTCATACGAGCCGCAGCGAGCGCTCAAATGAGGATTTCCACCACGTCTGCGCCCAAGCTGTTGAGGCTCCTTAGCATCTTCGGCGGAAGCTTTGGCTCCTCCGAGGTTTCTACAGGCAGGACAGAATTTATAGATTAGAAAAAACAACACTGGAAGGCAAACTGCCGATGCACGTGTCATTCGTTTAGATAAATATCTGTTATTTATACGTCCAGATTGTTTTGGAGTTGCTCGTTTTTGGAAATATCCTCTGTGAAGAGGTCTGCACTTGCCCTGCGGTGCTGAAAGCACCAAAAACCTGATGTGAAAACTAAGTAGCAACATCTTTTTTTTCTAGAAATCATGACCCAGTTACCACGTGGTTCCTGGAGGAACTATTTTCTCTCAACCATATTATGGTAGAAACGCAGCGTGGCCAGAGGCCTCTGTGGATCTTTTTTGATCCGAGTGTTTCAGCTGTAATATTCATGTTTGCTGATTTGACTGGAGGAAACAATGTAAAGCTACTTGTCGGAGTGATTTTTCTATTTAATTCAATGACACATTCTTAAAATGAGCTGTGAGGAGCTGACTGGGCCTTAAGCACTTCGAAAAACCCACCAGGTGTAGCCGCTGAGCTTGCTTCACACATCTTGAGCTTGCCGTGCTCTGCTGTGGCCTCAGGCTCCTGTGAGGCCTCGTCGCTCTGCGTGCTGCAGTCTCGGCTCAGGACCTTAGCAGCAGCAAGCAGCTTGGGCTGCAGCACAGCTGAACCTGTCTGGTCATCTGAGAGGCTCTTTCCTGCAGACAAAGAGAAGAAACTGCTTAATTACCCGCCTACATCCACATTTACGCGCTCCTGAACATCTGCCGCGCAGAGCTCTTCCCATGACTATTCTGGATGGGGCTATTCTGGAGTGAGAGATGATATGCATTCCAGTTTAAAAACAGGGCTGTGTCCTACTTGTTTTTGTCTTTTTCAGGGTGTGCGCATTCTGTCTGGCAGTTGTCACAGGATAGCGTGTGTAATTAAAGATTCCAGATTCCTCAGCTCGGCACGAATAGTAAGGGAAGAAGCTCACCTTTGTTCTCCATGCCGCCGGTCGCTATGTTGATGGAGGGGACGGATCTGGCTGAACGAAGCCCCTGTTTCTCAGGCTTGCTCTGCTCCAACCTGGAGCGCTGCTGGAGGACTTTGATCACCGCGTCCTTCTCCAGGAGCTGAGCGTGAAGAGCGCGGATCCTGAACGCACGGAGAACATCGTGAGTTTAGAAAAAACACCACAGCGCAGGCAGAAGGAAACAATGAAGTATGGATGAAAAGATGATCACCTGTTCTCCATCTCCTGACGTCTGTGATGGGACAACGGCAGGTCTTCATTAAAACTACTGTCCGGAGAGTGCCGCGGGGAGTGATTGATGATAGTTGTATCTCTGAAAATAAAATAGACGGTTTTCTAAATAATCCCCCAATTTTTACGTTTTGAATCTTCACTCCATTTTGACAGATTTGTTTGTACCTCTGTGCTGCAGCTGTGGCTGCTGCATCCATTGCAAACTGCCTCATGGTGCTCTCCTCCAGGTACTTTTGCTCCCACTTGGTGATATCTGCCTCCAGGGCAAGGATACGCTCCTCCTTCTCCCTCAGATGCTGCTGCAACCTGGACGAGCTCGGCTCTGAAGCTGTGGAATCAGTGCTCTGGTTCTGGGACTGAAACGGTAGACAGAATAGAGCGTTTAACACCCAAGGAAACAAAATGCTCTAAATCTGACTCTCTGAAAATGTGTTTATCCCTCAATCCACTTTTACTACTTTAACTATGCAGGAATCCTCTAGCAGACTAATGCTGGTCCCTTTCACCCTGTGAACCAGCCAAGTGTTTCTATAGGATAAGCCGCTAGGACATGTTCACATTGTTAAAATCTGCTAACTGAACCATTGGGGGGGGGGGCTTGTTTTCCTCACCTGTTGTGCCCTGAGGCTTTTTAGCTCCTGCTCCAACCTCGTGCGTAGCCGGAGCTCCAGCTCTTCCCGCTTCTCACAGGCGGCCTGCAGCTGGGCCAGCGCACTCTGCAGCCTCTCCACTTTCTTCACGTACGCCCTCTTCCTCTGAAGTTCTTCTTCCAGCTGACGGTTGCGAGTCTGCGCCGAGGCCAGAGCCTGCTCCATCAGCTCCCGTTTCCGCTGGCACTCCTCCCTGGACACTCGCAGGTGCTGAATCTGCTTCTCCAGACATTCGCGCTCCCGCTGCTGCTCTTCATCTGCAATACAGGAAACAGCAGGTTAATGAAGGTGACGAGGCTGTTAGCAACTTAAAAATAAATCTTTTGAGATTCTTCCTGGCTTTTGTTTGATTTTTTAAGCCTATAAAACTATATCACTGAAAAAAAAAAAGAGTTAAATTGGTCTCCTCTAAAGAGAAGCTCCCATGGCCTTCACTGGGGTCAGTGAAGCCTTCACTTCGGGAGCATTTCAGTGCATTTTCTAAGGAATGTGACCCAACAACAGACATAAAGGCATGTGGTTCAACATTAAAACATTTGACACCTCATTTTTTGCTAAGTTTATTGCCCTCGTAAACATGGGATCAGTAAAAACAATATTTCTCATTGAATCTTTGAAAGCTAGTCTGCATTTCAATGAGCCCTTTTAGAAAGTTTAACTGATGTGCCTCTTTAAAAGGGGGCTGATTACACAACATGAGTGCATGCCTGTGGAGGGAATGCAGACTTCCTCTTATCCACTTACGCACACAGGCATAGCCTTGTACTGGTAAAAGCTCTGGAATGCCTCTGAGGACGTGAAGTAAACAAGCAGCTCAAAATATATTTCATGTGGTTCTCATAACACAAACATATAAACTACACATCCCACTATTGTACTGCTTTTCTCTGCTATGCTGAGATAACCGTTTGGGAAAGATAATCATAGACACTGACACGACTGCATTTACTGCCCAAATGTTCCAACATAAGTGTTATTCCACCTAATCCTCGCTGTAGGGATTTCTCTACAGCTCAGTTCTGCACAGAGCTAAAAGGGAGCAAAGAAATATTCACAACTGGCCGATCATCATTAAGCTATGGCATGAAAAAGAAATGCCCAAATAAGGAGAATGAGCAAGTCATGGGTCATGTAGAGTTAGGCCAGGACACCCAGACGTATTAGTTCCCCTTGAGAAGGGAGGTCATTAGTAGCGATGCAAAACTGAGCACATCAGTAAAAAAAAAAAAAAAAAAGGGGGGGGGCATTCCTAGTGGCAAACACCCTGAAAGCCCTAAAAACATCTCAGGAATCCAGGCCACATTTACTGCAGCATAAAAAAAGGTCTGGAGTCTAGGTGCCAAAAGTAACTTACAGGGGAGATACACCCATTTGTGTGACAACATGTAGACAGCACCACATCACTAAAGAAGGAAACCAATCCCTGCTCAGCTATGTTCCTGCTATTGTTCAGTGTTTCACAGGGAATTGTGATTGAATCTGTGATGAACTGCAGCGTGAGAGGAGTTTGTAACAAAAGACTGATGTGGACTCACTTTGCTCCAAGAGTTTGACAAAGACGTGCTGCTTCGGGTCGGCGCAGTCCGCTCTGTGCTTGTTAGCCACGTCGAGTTGCTCTGCACAGAGATGACCAGCATACCACAATGAGCACATACGCATAAGGTAGGTTTAAAGCCAGGAGACAGACAAATAAAAATGGAAACTTACCTCGCAGGTCTCTGTTGAAGTCATGCATTCTCTTAACCTCTGCCTCTAGTTTATTCCTCATCGTTTTCTCCAGAGTTTCTCGCTTTCCAGAGCCTTTCATGAGGGTCTCATAAGCCTCAGATATCCTCTGAATCTCCAACTCCAACTGGGAAGAAAGAGAGAAAATGAGTCTCTGGGGGAGGAATTCCTGCATATTGTCTGGTTTATGTTGCAAATGTTAATATCAATGAGGCTAATTAGTCTACTGAATACCACCCGCTGTGAAATGTCTCTTTAATACTACGTGAATGAATAATGGAATTAACATTCCAGACTGAACACTCGTGATCCCAGGTGCCAGCCATTTATCTCCTCACATGCCGACATGTTTTTAAAGACAAAAGGAGATGCGTTGTAGAGATTCCATGCTCTGAATTAGTGAGAAAACCCGTCACCTCCTGCCCCAGCTAAAAACTTTTGTTTTCTCACGACCTAAACGAACCATTCACTACCATCCTCTCACCTTCTGAAGCCTGGTGGCCTTTTCCGTGTACACCTCCAGTTCCTTCCTGAGCCGCTCGTTCTCCCGCATTAATGTGTCGCTCCGAGGGGAGTTGCAGTCTGAAGCTGCTGTGATGCTGTTGTGAGTCTCCTGCGACTGAGCAGACACAAACCTGCAGACAGGAGATAGCAACAGTGCTGAAAAGACCGCCAAAATAAAAGAACAGCAGACTTCTCTGGGGCTGTTCTTCTTTTTTGATAGCGCATGTGTTTGTGGATGTTACCTGTGCTGTTGTGTGTAGAGGGGAGGATGGGGGTCTTGGTTGTATTGCACATATTCCTGTGAGTGGCTGAGCATGTATCCAGGAAGTCTGACACAGAAAGGATAGTCTGGAGGTGGTCCTCGCTGCTCTGCACACGGCTGAGCCCTTTGTCTGTCAGGTGTCGCAGCATTTAAAACATTATTGTGATGATTATAGAGCTGTGGGTAGCTGTGTGAGGGACTCATAGGCAGACTGTTCCTAGACCGGTTTCTCTCCAGAGAAAGCTGCATGAGTCTCTCACTGAGAGAGCGAGCGTGCTCTCTCTTCAGATCCCACTGTGCCTCACGTCCACTTCCCACTACATCCATGCTGGGTCCATTGTGCTCCGCCTGCCCCTTCTGAGAGTTCAGGAACTGGGAGTGGGCTTTGGCTTCCTCGTAAGTAGGCAGTTCCTCCTTGTGGAGATGGTACAGGTGGCACACGGGGCTCTCAGAGTGCAAGCTGTCTCCTTGGTGCTCCTGACCTTGAGGCTCCTGCCTTGTTGACATCTGGATGTATTGAGTGTCCTCCTGAGTGAGGCTCTCCAGAGAGGAGCGGGGACTGCCGGTGCCGCCGCCGCTGCTGCCTCCACGCAATGCCTGCTGCTGGATGGCTAGAAGCGTGCGCGTGTCAGTCAGGTTTCCGTAGCGGAGCTGTTCCTGGATGAGACGGTGCAGGACCGTTCCAGAGGACTCCTCGGCAGTTCTCATGTCAGCCAATGAAAAGACAGTTTAAAAAAAAAAAAAACGAAACACAAACAAGCCTCGATGTGGCAGCGTGGGCGCTTCACAAATCACACATCTGAAAGGAAAAGAACTGTGGTCAGACTCAACACTGCACAAACCTATCCACACTTCTGTTACACAATGCTGTGTGTGCACGAGCTGTAGCTGGAAATACCCCTGATAGTGATGTCACTGGAGATCCAGTTTTTATGGCCCACATGCTGCAATGCATAACTTTCTCCAGTCACACAAGCATAATACTCAACGGTTGCACAGACTCAAAAGATTCCAGTGATTCAGGATCAGATAATGCCCAAAACATGATGAAGACATATAAAGTCTTCAGAATATGAATGATGGATGCTTTAAAATGCACTGGATACTTTATACAATTAACTCATTTTAACTTTCAACGTGAAAATCTGGATAGAGAGTAAAATTAATGCCTTATTAAACCACTACAATGTGTCCTGACCGCACAAAATAGCTACACAGCTACATGAGATCAAGAGTGAATTACGCAAAACATCATCAAGTCTAATCCTCCAAGCTGAAAAAGCAGCAGTAAAGATTATTTAAAAATCAGTTTAAAGACATTAATGTCAGGGGTGTGAAACATAGGGCCTGGTGACCAGAACCGGCCGCCACAGGGTCAATTTGGCCAAAGTAAATGTTCTTGTTTTGTTTTTACAAAGTGTGAAAAGTCTTTAAATTCTTTACTATTTGAGTTTGAATTATAAACACATAAAACACAAAATGCAAAAGCTTTATGGGTAACTCTACATTTGAATGGTTTGTGCCTTTATAGCTCCTGCATGAATGAGACTGTTTAGTAAATGGATGGATCTGTGTGTGGCTCATGAATTAAAACGGGACTCAGATGTAATCTGTTAAGTAAGTAACTCCATCCGGAGTGGACTCCGTCCACACACAAACCGACAGAAAACGTTCAGATAAACCTATTCAGATAAAATGCTAAACTCACCAAATTTTTTGTCTCATCGCACAGTGAGCGGTGCCGTCGTATCTCAAATCAATGATCTGCGCTTATTGTTCAAAATAAACGTCCACAAGTGTGCGGAGCTCCTTTCCTCCGTGCGCATGTGTGCGCGCTGACGGGTAGCAGGCAGCAGACTGAGCAGAGCGGAGCTGCGAGGCGCACTAATAAATAACTGAGAGCTGATTGTTCGCTGCGGCTGGAATGACAGGAATGCAAAGGCTCCGAGTCCCTGTGGGATCAAAAGCAGAGCAGAGGGGAGGAGGGAGAGGATGAGGAGGAGGAAGAGGAAGAGAGAGGGGCGGTGTGTTTAAAAAAAATGGATTCAGAGCAGCAGAAGCAGCAGCCCCTCAGCTGGCTGCTTGTGTCATGTAAAAGAGCTCGTTGTTGTTTTTTGTTGTGCGGCTTCAGGACATTTGAATGCACAGTTTCTATAGCTGAGGAAGATTTAAGTCCCTGCATTCTCATGTTTGAACGTTTCTGTGGCACTGCCGCACAAAAAAGATAAAAAGCAGTAAAATAGCTGTTCAAATACTTTAAGAATGCAATATTAAAAAAAATTTATATTTCGAAGAATTTTTGCGTCAAAATAAAAAAAATGTCACAAAACGCTATTTAGTTTTATTATATTATCATTATATTTTATTTTTAGACATTAACTTAGACGTGCCAAATTAAGCCAGTCTGTCTCCGTTTCTCATCACAAACTGAATCCTTGATTTTATTACTAATTTCTTTTACTTCAGTAACTTTGTTTTCATGTCAGAAAATCAAGAAAAATCCGCCAGTTTCCACAGTGAGGCTTTTAAACACTGCTTTATCTAAAGCAGCAGAACCAAGCTCAGACAACAGCAGCAACTTTACGTGATTCCAAGCTTATTGGCGAGTTTTATTATAGACTGTATATGAAAGATGGCCAATGACATATCAGTGCATACATCAGAGGTATGAAAAGAGCTGCATGCATCTCCGCCAGCACAATACAAACTATTTTAACTAGCTTCATTAGCAAGCAGCCCTACGTTCCATAGAAGTGTTATCCTTGTGCTAATGAGCAAACTGCATTTATGCCACATGTACGTACCACAATTTGTTTGTACACGTACAGTGACAATAAAGGCCTATTTTATTCAGTTCGACCAACCAGACCTATCACGGCTGCTGAGGTCTCATTCACAAAGACGTCTCATTACATATTTGGGAAAGTGTACATCAAGTTATGCTATACATTTAACACACTATGAAGCTAGGCAAAGTCTTGTTTGTTTTTTTCAAGCCTCAGGCTAAACATTTCTGTGGTTGTTATCTTTCTGAAAAGGATGGACCCAACAGAAACTTGCAGATCACAAGGTAGGCCTGCCCATCACAATCTCCAGCTTTCTCCTGATTTATGAAGATCATAATCTCCATACTGAACATCGTGTTGTATTAAATGCAACTTTTAACCAGCAACAAACCAGAATATCACATCAAGGGAGTTTTTTTACTGAGCTCATAGATCATGTAAACTGTAGCCTCTTTTTCCTCATAGTTTTTTATACAATGTTATACAGTTGTTATTTATAACTATAGACTCACCCCCTGCTTTTCATAAAAAAGAATGCATGCTTAAGGCACTTCCATACTGGCTTCGCTTTCTAGCCCCAGAACCCATGTCCACCTTTTATGGCTATCTAACTATAGACGATCAAAGTCAAACATTCCAGCTATTTTCCCTGTTCAAAGTTCTTCTCTTCTTGAATTTTTGTTTCCTTGTACATTTGTACCTGTTTTATTGACCTTTCATTTGCCTGCTCATCCTCACCTGGTTTGTTGTCTGCCCACCTCTGAATGACCTCAGACCCGATAAAAGATTTGGATTTGGAGCTTTTACTCTGTCCTGCGTTTTGGTCCTCTTGCTCAGTGATCCTTATACACAAACTTGACATTTGACACAAACTCGGTAACAGATTATATACCTGCTACACTGAGCTGCAGATGAAAAATGATGTCATATCACTGAGACCTGGACTAATCTTTTTTTCTTTTGTTTGCATGGACCTGGTAAATATTTAAGCCGCAGCCCGTGCCAGTTAATTGCAGTGTGTATGTGTGGACATGGAGGGGAGAGGGGCGACGTGAGGCATGCTGCCTGCCAGCTGTCCGCGGACTGAAACCCCCCCTCCCCTCCTTTAATAAGAGCTCTGAGAGATGCATTGTTCTCCCAAGAAAGCAGACATGATGGGGGCAGCCCTGCCATCTGCTGTTCTCCCCTCCACCTCAAGCACCGGCTGCATGTGGATGTAGACCCTGGGATCAGCTGGCAGTGGGGGCTGTGCAGCAGTAATGTTATTGAGTGCATGAACACCATCAAACTGATCCAGTGATTTGAGGTTGTAGTGAGTGTAAACAAGTCTTCTCTTTTTAATGTGATGCTCGCAGCCGACAGGGCAGGTTGCTTTATCTTAAACAGTCGCAGGTATCGATTTGCATGGCAGTTGAAGTCCAAGAGCTGCTAAAGAATGCTGAAGAACTGATAAAAAGGTTTCACCATTTAATGATCCTCTGGATAAGCTTAGGTTTATGACACCTCACACATTTGTCGATATGTAATGAGACAGAATGATACCGGTTTCTGTACATTCAGTCTTTGGTTCAGCGTAGGTTCTTCTGGCTCCAAAACTGCCCTTTTGCCCTCACTATGCACATAAGCATAACTGACCCACATACAGTTGGGGCAAAGAATCAGTTTGGCTTTACAGAAGCCTGTGAATTCCCCTGGTATTTTTTAGCCATCTGATAAGCAAAAAAAATGCATTTTAAGCTTGAGTGAAGGAAAGCAGTGAGTCTGATCATTTTAATATAATATCAAAGCCTATTCAGAGGGTGCTAATATTTTTATTAGCAGGTAAAACCCTAATATATAAAAGATTAACATAGACGAGGTAATGTCACCCATTGGGTAGTGTAGCACTGATATTTTGAAACCAAACGTAACAAAGTGAAGAACACTACACGCTCATGGGTTAAACAATTACATGATACAACAGCCCCCTTTTTGACTCCATTTGGGATCATACTTAATAAAACAGAATTTAAGATTTGAAATGGCAGTTGAAACTATAAAGTCATTATGAAAGTGATCAAAGATCATGTGAGGAGTGATGCTTTTGATAGTCTCCTTTTATACAAATTTGAACCTGAATTTCAGTTTTATAAAGCTTAGGATCTCTGTGATAATAAGTCATCTCTATCCATAGAGGACAGCTAAACAAACACACACCAATTATATGTGGAAAGACTGTGCTGGTAACATGAAGCGTATGAGTGACTGTGCATTCCTGTTGCCTGGAAATTAGATTATGCAACCTTTCCCACGCCACAAACAATAGTAATTTCCAGGTACTTCTGTCTCAGCATTATACCGCAGGCTACACGAGAAGTCAAACACCTAATAATCAGACCATAAATCATTAAAACAAAGCAAACAGAAATGCCAGTCACTTGGTAGAATAAACCCACGATAGAAAAAAAAACTTTTTTGTTTAATAAAGTTTTTATTCTTTTAAAGACATATTTATAGAAATATTTTTGGGAAAAACAGAATATACAGGTGAGTCATTACCAAAGACTAGAGTGAGAGTTTTGCCAAGCTAAGTAATTGCTGGGTAGCCCTGTCTCCTAGCATCCTGTCTTTAAGCTAGGCTAATTAGCTGCAGCATTTTTTAAATCGCCTTTAAAGTTTGACAGTAGACACATTTACAATATTTCATCCATATACAGGTATAAAGGGTAAATGCATCTGGAAGTGTTGCTTTGTGTGCTTATGTTTGCCATTTTAGTTTCTCTTTGCTACTTTTTGCCATTTAGCTTCTGGTTGCAGCTTCTTTTTAGCATTTCATCACATTTACACTGTAGTAAAACAGTCATTTTAAGTGTGTTATCAGTTTTATTTGCTCTAAAGTAAAAACCCACTCAGCTATTTCTGTTTTTTAGAAGCAAGTCTCAAACCTTTAGCTGGAGGGTTATTTTTAGCGTATGCCTAAACATCGAGTGGTGGCCATCAAAAGACCTCATCTCCTAAAAAAATACAGTTGCGTACAACCAAACTCAATTCCGGTATAATCACAAAGTCATTTCAGCTTCATTGAGATTTGGTATCGCTGTCACTGTTGGTAGAATAAGCAGCCCTTTCAGATGTCTGGTTCCTTCAAGATCTTCTCCAAGAAGGTTTGTCATGTCTCCCAGCACAGTGTCAAGAATGTGGTCACTGATATATCCTGAGCTGACAGGCATGTAGAAGGGCATCAACCCACCAGGAGGACTGGTATAAGGTCTTTTGTGTAAGGAGGAACAGGAGGAGCACTGCCAGAGCCCTACAGAATGATCTCCAGTGGGGTACTCCTGCATGTTTCTAGAGATGCTCTGCTGAATGTTATGCTGCCTGCAACATCGTATAGCTTGACCAGTTTGGAGCTAGGTCAGTGATGGTCTGGGAAGGTGGTTTGCCGATTGCTGTTAGATACTAGGATAAAATCCTCATACCCTTGTCAGATCATATGTTGTATTGGGCCCTAGGTTCCTCCTGGTGGAAGAATACCCATCCCCATGTCTAAATGTTACTAAGAGTGCCTAAAGGGACGTAAACGTTTAGGGCAACCAAGTCACATTGTGACATAAGCAGTGACTTCGATTTTTCACTTTAATCAACATAATTTTGTTTTCAATGAATTCAACAATGTAAAGTTTTTCTAACTAAAATATTTCTCTCAAGCATTTCTTTAATTTCTTTGTATATATTCCAGGTTTACATGTGTCTCATACTTGTTTCTTACAGGTGGCAGGTGTTATGGCTGTGTACTCCTCGGGTAAGAAAGGTAGAAAGTCTAATTTACGCCATATTTTCAAGGACGATTGCCATCAGAAGTGATACCTAAGATCAGTCACTGGGACCTGTTGATGGGCTGACTGGGCCAACACAAAGCAGACTGCGATCTGGGAGCACTGCCCTTGGTATGTGAGGTGGGACAAGCCTGGTGCTTCAGCAGCTCCTTTTGTTTTCCAGAAAGGAGGAAATGGCCGCATTCCTCACATTACCATGTGCATAGGGTCTAACTGAGCCTCCAGTCTGCTGTTCTACGGGGAACAACTGGAGGTTAACCGGCAGCCACTGACAGTTTCTTTTAATGGGGGGGGGGGCTCTTCAGTGAATAACACTGCTGCATGGCTGTCCCAATTCATGAC